TTCATTGACATATATAAATATACAAAAATTAAAACTATATTTATCAAACATTATACTGGGCAAGTAAAAATTGTTTCTGGGCAAATGAAATGTGAAAGTCACTTGCCCTTTGGGCAAGTGGTAAAAATCCTTAACGTCAACCCCTGTTATATTATAATCACTGCTTAGCTGCAGCTAATAAAGACTCCAGATAAAAAAACAGATGGAGCTGACCAGATTCTGGCTGTGGTAAATATTTTTGCTTCCATCACAAAAGTTGCCACACATATCTAACCTCATAGGAGATTCTGCAAGTTTTTTTTTATTTCTTTTCAAGTGTAGGAAGTGTCAGGACATCAAATGAACTGAGCTTTGCACCTCCAGAGTGACCTCTGGGCAAACAGGACCAACTTCTGTCCGATCGAGAGAGAAAAAGACTAATAAATGGTTCTGAACCACAGTGGGCACTCGCTTTGGTCAACATTCTGCTATTAGAGGCAAAGGCTCGGAAAATTCTTCCCCTGAATTCCTCTTTCCTGACAAATGAAGACATAATTTATACTTTTAAATAACTAATTTCATTACACAGCTGGGAGATCAGTAAATATTAGATAAAATGGATCTAAATCTGCTTCCAAAATAACGTTTTTATTCATAAACCTGTCAGACACAGAACTACCTTTCACTGTAGAATTTGTGTTTGAACCTTGTTTTTATCCCTGTGTGGGTGTTTTTTCTTACTTAAAAAAATGCTCGTAAATCAACAGTGTAACTTAAAAAGAAAAGAAAAGAAAAAAAAACAAAAACTTTCTGCAGTGTACCTACTGTTTGCTGTTAAATAACTATCTGAGAAACTCACAGTAATCTAGTTGCTTCAATTTTCATTGGAACATTTAATTTAGTAGGAACAAATTAAACGATCTTATCAGATATTAAACAGATATACACGCTGTATCTTATTAACACATCTTCTTACTATGTCTGTCTGCTACTCACCATCTATTAAAAGCAGAACTCACCATTTTCAAGACCCGCCTCCTTGTGCTCTTTCTGGCCACTCCTGGCAGCCTCAGGAAAAAGATCCTCCGCCTCAGCGTGAATATAGCCACAGACTTCAGGAGAAGCAATTCGACTCAGATTCCTGATGTCCTGTGATCGGTACACCAGTAACCTCCCATCAATCGGAGAATCTGTAAACCTCCACAGCGGCTGGACGGCACAAGGAAAGGAAAAGATTGCTATTAGAGAACCCAGCTGCTAAACCAAGAGGTTAATCCAAATGTCTCATCTGATCCCATTTAATGTAAAGCAATGATGGCTTTGGACAGACAATATTCAGTTTGATTATATCAAAGTGAGGAGAAAATAATGACATTTAAAGCATCTCATATTTATAACAAAAAATATTATCAAACTCAGTCTACTGATCAGATTTATTGCCTTATATCAGGGGTAACCAATTAAAAATCAGCGGGGTTCGAATAAAGAAAATCATCAACCAGTAAAGGTCCAGAGACATTTTTTATTATAATCTGTTACTTTAAACAGATTCCCATTTTAAAATCTAAATTGTTTTTTGAAGTAGAGAACAACAATCGTTCAGTTTGGAATATTGACAATTTCTGATTCACGTATTTTAAAAAAAACCTGAACTGACTGTTAGGTTTTTTTTTTTTGTCTTTGTCTTTCTTTTTTCTGTTTTAATGAGAGCAGTGGGCTTTATGCTGCCCTGCAAGGCTATTAAACTGGTTCTGAATGGTGACAAAGCCATTCTAAAACACATATCAAAGTGCTCATTCGTGAGCCTGGATCGATTTATTTTGGATTCTGTTCATGGTGGAGAATCCTGCTTCACAGCAGCAGGTTGAACCGAACATACTCAAAATGTGCAGGGTCATCTTTGAGCACCATGTCACTTTTTTTTTCGCTAGTTCACTACCCTTCTTCCAGCAGCCCACACTTTCTCTGCTATTTCTCATCGCCTGGCTTGCCACAGGTTTGCCTGCTGTGTCTAAAAGTGGCTCGCCGCAGTGATCCAGACTGACGCAGCTCATTGGCTAATTTTTTATCACGTGTAACCTGGTCCCAGAAGCTCTGGAAGGCTTTACCATATTAACAGGAGAAGCGCCGCAAGTGAAGTTAGACTACTGATCCGTGACCTCTGCCTTATAGTCAGTTACTTTACTGTTTTTTTTTTTACAGGATTTAGGTCTTGGAAATTAGACAGCTAAAAAAAAAAAAAGAGTGGATTTTATGTTTGTTGAACCCTCTCTGTGATTTGGCACTAGGTTTTAACCTTGTATTTCAAAAAGAGAACATTATAAAGTGCACTTTGATGAGGATCCAAGGGATCAAGGAGACAAACAGGCCACAGCATCATATGGAGCCTACTGAGCCACATATGCATGGTTTTCACCAGCATATTTTAGTGTAACAGTTGTTGTGTAGAATGATTCTGTAATTAGGGTGTAATGCTGTTTAAAAAGTCAGTGTAATGGTGAGATACACTGCATATTTGCATCTTTTGGAGGACTTTAAATCAATGCTAGAGATAGACTGATAGATTAGCCAGATGATATTTTCGGCCTATACTAGCTTTTTTTTCCTCCTGGTTATTTGTTGAGACATGCATATGTTTGCCGATTTGAGCAGCCATGCCTTCAGATCACATGAAGCCCTTTGAATGGCTGCTTCCTTCATTTTATATCCAGTATTAATGCTTTGTTTGTAAATAACTTTTTCTTTCAGTTTAAATTGAATCTTGTGTAACATTCATGTAAATGGAGGATGAGAAAGCAAAACCAGCCTAACAAATAGGCCCAAAAAAATTGGGAGTGCATATCGGGATTGGTTAGACTGATGTCAGAATAATCGTATTTACATCTGCCTTTAAGACAATGCGTCAGTCGACCTCTAGTCAACAACGGTTTCACATTTTAGATGCAAGGTCTCAAAAGAAGAGGGGCAACAGATCGTACCTCAATGTTGTATTCCGTTTCATCCGTCAGGATGTGAGCAGAGAACTCATCTCCGTCGATGTGCGCCTGCACGCGCGAATGAGCCTCTCCTATAAACAAATCAGAACGCTAATCACAAAATAGCGGGTTGTTTTTTTTTTTTTTGTTACAAATGAGCTGTTGAGTATCAATTTGTGAAATGAGCAATTAGGGAGAGAATGTTTTAAATAAGAATCCCATCAACTCACCAACAACATGTCCGGTGAAATAGTTCTGAAGTGACACGTCATATTTCTCTTCCTTCCCATTTTTATCAACAAACACAGCTTTGAAGTTGTCAGTAAAAAGCTCTGTGTTTGTGGTCAAGTAAAGTTTGAAATCTCTGGAGATGAAGAAAGAAGAAACTTAACAAAAAAAGTCAAATTAGTAAACTTTTTGTTTTTTTAATAAGTCATTTTTTTTGTCCCACTCAGATGACATCTTAACGATGCTGCCGTGTTTTATGAAAAAAATTCCACTTTATGAATTCAAACATTTACTTTTTCATGATGAACTTTATTTTAAGGGTCACAGCAGTAGCTCCCAAATATATTTGGTGCTTTTTAAAAGTCCTAAAAGCATAAAAACTATCATTGTGGTGATAGCACAACTGAAAAAGACTATTGGGAGCCTTTTTGCTCTATGAGAGTTTGACTAATGTACACTGATAAAAAAAAAACATCACAGATAATAAAATATAAGGTCAAAAATGTTCCAACTCTGTTCCAACAGGGTAGATCCAATGCTAAAAAGTCATATAAAAATAAAACAAACATGCATAAAGCCTCAAACATATTTATTTAAATGCAAACTGCCGATTTTTTATAAAAACTCAAAAAGTGAAGAAAAGTCATAAACACAACAAAACAAGTTATAAACACCACTAAATGTTTCTGTCATGATGTCCCGCTCAGTGTGGAGTTAATTAGTTCACTCTGGCTGTATGAATTATGGGTTACCACCTCTTGCTAAGCACTGCCACTCAGCTGGCTTCTACACATTACACATCTCCTATTAAAAATATTTAGACCCCCAAATAAAAAGTGAGTTTTAAGCTTAATGCTTTAAACTACAGTAAGACTGTTTTTTTTTTAACAAAATTGATTTTATGTCTCAGCTTTAGGCTCCAATGTAAAATGCCGCAAAAGTTATTGATGTTAGTTGCCATCGAGTGTGGGACACCCAGTTATCTGCTATAAGAGGGAATATGTTTTTTTTCATGAATCTAGGATGGTTTGGATAACTTTGCATTTAAATATAATTTGAAGAAAAGCAGATTTTTGCATTTGAAGTCTGAAACATTTCAATTTGACAAGAAAAGCAGAAACTAGACATCATTCATATGGGATTGAAATCTAAGGTATAATTTAAAAAGGTGTGTTTCATTTCAGAGTAACTCAGTCACTGTTACCAATGGTGTAAATATCAGTAAGCAGAGACAGCAGTTGCTTATGGGCCCACGACCTCTTAGGGGCCCCATCATTGGCACCTGATAGGCCCCCTACCCAACTGTAGACCAGAACGTCTCTTTGCAAATGTAATGGTGTGGAAAAAAACCTCTTAAACCCACCTGAAACTGAAGTGACTGACCGCATCAGACCGTATTTATACCGCAACACATGCAAGATTTCAACACGATGGTGAGGAGTTTAAACATGTCACCAATAGGAAAGCAGACAGTGGTACTTTTAATTACTATGTTAATAACTGTGTATAGTGGTTAAAAAAAAAAAAACACACTCATATGTTTCAAACATATTATATGCTGGGTTCGATAAGCATCTCCCTAAAATGAGTTTTTGGAACTTGGGATGTCTGTAACATGTGGTGGTGCGCTGTCACCAATGGTTCCATTCAAGGTGCACAGTCACTATTCTTTCGTGTGTGATGTGTGATCACACACACGAAAGAATAGAACTAGTAGAACACACTACTGAGAATTACATAATTGTATCTTCTTGGCCGATTTATGGAACTGTCGCCGTATCCTGAACCTTTATATTAATAAATAGATAAAAACCTAAATTTTATTGTGGTTTTTGGTCACAGCCTTGAACTAGCTGTAAGGGAATTCAATTACCCCAAAACATCCAGCTTTCATAAACTTTACAGTTTTAGATAGGGATGCACGATATTGGGATTTTGGCCGATATCCGATATGCCGATATTTTAAAACTCATATGAAGATATTGTGATATTTTAATGTATCAATATTTTTTACCTCGACTTTAGAAGTTTTTAAGTCTGTAAAAAAGAAGTTTTTGAGGAAGAAGAAGTAGTATTTTTTTTTTTTTTTTTTTTTTTT